CTGGCGCGTGGAGCGCACCAGGGGCGGCGCCAGAGGCGCCGCCAGGGCGCTCCAGCGCAGATCCAAGAAACCCGCGCGGAGCTCCAAAAGTTTATGTTTATGCTGTTTTTTTCTGCTTCGAGACAGGGTCGGATAGCAAAGGGCAGGGTAGAGAATCAGCCCACATAGCTGTTTTTCCTGGCGCCTCCTGGCGTCGGGAGGAGCCCATGTATCGAGGAATGGGCCCCGCGGCGGGGCCGAAACCAGCTGCATGCAGCAAGCTCGAGACAACGGAATTCGGGAAACTAAGGGAAGATACCGATAGCGGTACTCCCCGGACCCCTCCCAGGGCAATCTGACCTTGGACGCCCGAGACGGGTACGGACAAACATTGGCACCATGCCCAACAACGCATGTTGCACAAGACCAACAGCGACCGCCGTCAGGCAGGCGGCCGTCTGCCTCGGATGGACACCGTCCGCGGCGACAGCGACAGCGAGCCCTGTTCAATCGGGGGCGGCCAAAAGGGGGCGTCCAAGAGGGGGGAGTGCAAATCATGACCGGCGGCATGTGCGCGGCTCAAGTGGTGGCAAGGGACGTATTGAAATCAGAAGGGGCGCCATGCAATCTGGTGAGATGATGGCCCCTGCCATGATATCCACCCCCCTAATCATCACCCCCCTCTTTGCCGACCCCGATTCAGAATGAGCACGAACTGCTGTTGGACTCTGTACCGACTGTTTCCGCACCCAGCCGGGAGTTCGAGGCGAGCCCCGCCGCGGCGCCCAGGGGATGAAAAAATCGGCCCCCTTTCGGGCCAGAACTCTCGGGTGTTGCTAGCAGGACCCCTGGCCCAAGGCGCCCCCAGCTTCTCGCTTCATCTTGGAGCCCCTGGGGCCCTCTGGACCTCGTGAGGGGTGCCTTGGAGGCCGTTTGGGTTACCCCGAGGTTCCTGGGGGCACCTTGGCCCAGGGGCACCTCTAGCGAAACCCGAAACTCAGCTCTCCGGCGGCCGCTCGGGACGGTGCTGGCCCCCCCCCCCACAGAACGCTCTCGGCGAGGCGCCGCTCTCGCTGCTGGGGAGCACGCCCGAGGCTGGAGAAGCCGCCGAGAGCCAGCGCAGATCTGGGGAAGACCCTCGAAGCTCAAAGCCTGCCCTCCGCACGTTGCCCCCCTGAGCCTTCCCCCCCCCCGCGGTCGTTGCCTCTGGAGTGCCTCTTTGGAGTCCCGAAACGGTGCGGTGACGGTGCCGGTGCCTCGAAATCCCCCAAGACCTCACCGCACGGTCCGTCACCGCACGGTCTTGGGACCCCGGAGGCCCCTGTCGCCCGACACGCCCTCGGAGAGGGACCCGAGTCCCAAAACCGCGCGGTGACCCCCCCGAAGCCCCACCGACTCACCGCACGGTGTGGTCACCACCCCGTCTGGGGGCCCCCGGGCCTCCTCCGAGGCCGCCCTCGGCCCGGGAGCGCCGCCGAAGGGGGCTCCGAGAGCCCGAGGCGAGGGCGGCCGCCCTGCCTCTCGCCACCCGCCCCCCCTGGGCCGGCACGGGTTTCCCCCCGGGGCCGCACGGGCGACCCGAGGATCCTGCGGCCCAAGAGGCCTCCAAGACGCCCTGGACGGCCTCGCGGACGGCTTTTTGATTTGATCCCGGCAATGCCAAACTGTACAATCACTTCCGCCTCCGAGTCTTGACGACCTGGTTCTGGCGGGCCCACTGGCTGCGACCTGGAGGTTGCCCCTTGGCAACCTTCTTTAGCATCCTGGAGCCGTAATCACTAAGGTGACCTGGAGCACCCCAAGAGGGCCCCAAGTCGGCCCAGAGAGGCCCCCCAGGCGGCATCCCAGACGGCGTCCGACGGGCCAGGAGGCCGTCAAGACAGCCCAAGATGGCTCTAGGATGGCCCAAGACTGCCAAAGAGGCCCCCAAGAGGTCTCCAAGGCGACCCAAAGACGCCCCCAAGAGGGCCTCCAGGAAGGCCCGAAGAGGCCAACATCATTGATTTGCCCTGGGTTGTTGAAGGATTTTAGCATCTGCTTGTTTTCAGCCTTCCGACGGCCCAAGACGGCCCAAGAGCCCGCAAAGATCGCCCCAAAATCGCCCAAGAGGCCCACAAGATGGCCCCAAAACGGCCCGAAGACGGCCCAAGAGGCCTCCAAGACGCCCTTGATGGCATCCCAGACGGCCCTGGAGCACCCCAAGAGGGCCCCAAAACGGCCCAGAGAGGCCCCCGAGACGGCTTCCGCCGGGACGGCCAAAGAGGCCCCCAAGAGGTCTCCCAAGTCGGCCCAAGACGCCCCCAAGAGGGCCTCCAGGGAGGCCCGAAGAGGCCAACATCATTGTTTATCATTGGGTTGTGGAAGGATTTCAGCATCTGCTTCTTTTCAGCCTCCCGACGGCCCGAGACGGCCCAAGGGCCCCCAAGGATCGCCCCAAGATCACCCAAGAAGCCTCCAAGATAGCCCCAGAACGGCCCAAGAGGGCTCCAAGACGGCCCAAAAAGCATCCAAGACGCCCAAG